AACAAACAAAACAAATTTGGCTACGCTGGACAGGGCGAATGCGGCACTTGCGCTTGGCGCCGTGCTGAAGTTCTCTGATTATGGCGGAGGATCGCGTTGCTTCATCGAAGGTGAAAAAGTGCCGACTGCGATCACGCCATTCTCATCGGCATAAAGAATTTCACTGGAGACACAGTGGATATAGCCACGCTGTGCGCGCAAAAATTGAGCCTGTTCAGCGAACTGCATCAGATTTACTTCAAGCTGAAAACCTGTCAAGCAAGCCCGTGTTTGAAGAAGGCAAACGATCGTGCGTAGCGGGCCTCTCGGGAAGGTGCAAGCACTATCACGCTGCGTTGCTATACTGTGACAGGCGATGCCTCAACAGGTCTTGAGTTCTGCACTGCGACTCACGCTGCCGGTAGTGTCTATCCCGTTGAGTTTCGTTGTCCGGTCAAGAGCTGAACACTGCGTATATATATATATATATATATATATATATATATATATATATTATATATATATATATATAGTCAAGTATATCCTCCATGAGCAGTGACAACATGGTTTATTTCGACGTTTCAGCCAGAGTCTGCCTTTCTTCAGGATTGAGGGTACAGTTTGTTGGTGCTCAGCTTTGTACAATCTTAAATCAGAAGGGAGAGAAAGAAAGAGGCAGAAAAAAAAATGAGAATGTAAGATGGACTCCCCCGGGCGCCCCCTTTCCCTCTTCCTTCCCCTTCCCTTTCTCTCCATTTTCTCCTTTTCACCTTTAGGGTGTCTGCGGTCTGTGTATCCTTCCTTTCACTAACGTATTGTTCCCGACCAGACGGCGCCGCATGGCTCTGGCGGTTCGGTGTGGGGGAAAAGAGCTTTTTTACGAAGTTCAAGCCTTTAACTACTCAACACCTCGTCAACAATTCGTCGTTGAAATAAGGGCGCCACGTATTGCCGCAGAAAGTGGCAAGCGTGCGCAATGTCAAGTCTTGCCCGCTTCTAGATTGTCCGTGCAGTAGGGGCCTCCCGCTTGTGCACAGGGTTGTTGTTGGGCATGTCATACTTGGCACAATTGATTGGATAGTAAAGTAAAAACAGAAACAGACGACAGCTGTGCTTAGGAAGAGTAGTTACACTTGGAAATATTTTGAGTTGTCTAGTGCCCTTCGGAGCTGCGGTTCCGTGAACTCAGTTATCATTTTCATTATTGTTGTTATTGTTTTCTAATGGTTTAATTGCTGCAAGTGTACCCGTATTCTCATTTATTCTTCTATGGAGGGTGTTAAATCGATGGATTAGGTATGACTCTCATTCATGTTCTCGCTTGATTTAAACCCCGTCTCTAAGAGCGTTACTGATAGTTTGTCAAATGCATGGTCGGAAAGATTGAGATGTTTTATAGAGGTAGACTTGGGGCTGATTTCGCTAGGGCTATGTGATTAGTAAAGCGAATATTAAATGGTGTTTCTGTTTGTCCGATGTACTGCATTTTGCACACGTTGTCTTCGAGTAGGTATTCCACTTTGGAGAAACCGCATGTTAAGTTTCCTTGTATGTTAATCGAAAACTTGGATTCTGTGCTAATTGCTTTGTGTGTTTCTCACATCGCTTTACAAACAAGACATCGTGACTTTAAACAAGGTTGGCATGAATTATTAGGGTGTGAGTTATTGATTTGAGACTGGACAAGTGTGCCTGAGGTTGCATGGTCGTCGGTAAACGGCGCCAGGAGCGGATGGGAATACGCGTTCCAGACGTTCAACTTGTTCTAGAATGTTGTAATGTCGTTTAAGGATTTTGTTTACAATGGGGAAGTTTGTGCTGTAAGTTAAGCTGAGGTTTGTTCATCGAGGGTCTTCTTGCGGTGGTCGCTTCACAATTAAGTCATCACGCTTCAGTTTTCTCGCTTTTTGATTGGCGTCATCAATTAAATGTGGCGGGTATTTTTGTTTATCGAGCATAAGTTTTGGCCTCTGTGAGCTCGTGCCAAAATCAGCGTCTCTTGAGCAGATTTGCTTTAAACCGGTGAGTCTGGCTGTATGGAATACTGTTTTTACAGTGGCATGGGTGATCGCTTTGGTAATGGAGGTATTGTTGTCGATCCGTTGGTTTGCGATATAGGATTGTAAAAAGCTTGTCTTCTATCGTTATGGTAGCATCAAGAAAATTTACAGTTGCTTCCGAGTAGGTGTGTGTGAAGGGTATGTTCGGATGTACATCATTGTAATTGTCGATAAAACTGAGAAGTTCATTCTCACTGTGGGTCCAAATAAGAAAGATGGCTATGTATCTTCTGTATAACAGTGGTTTCAAGAAACTTTGTGCAAGGAATTCCGATTCTAGCTTTCCCATAAATATGTTGGCATAATTGGGTGCCATTTTGGTGCCCGTAGTGGTCCCACTGATTTGTTGAAAATACTCTTGGTTAAATTCAAACAAATTTATCTTGAAGACGATCTTCGTCAAAGTTATGTTGGCAGAGAAATCGGGGTTGTTAGATTGTCTATGGTCTGTGTACATGTTTTTAATGCAGCTATGCCGTCATCGTGAGGAATATTTGTATACAATGAAGAGACATCAAGAGTAACCAAGTACGAGTTTTTCGGCACACACAGACCTGCAATGTCTCGAAGAAAATGTGTGGCGTCTAATGTACAATGCGAGGGTGTATTGAATGTGGCTTATTAGTTTGTCCACGTACCCTGATGTGGGTTCAGTTACTGTACCGATGCCTGATATTATTGATCGACCTGGGTTACCTGGTTTATGAATTTTCGGGAGGATGTAGAAGCGACCTGGACAAGGGTATGCTCCTCGCATTAGTTTGTGGTCAGTTTTGGTTATCTTTTCTGCATCCAACAGTTTCTTTAGTTCTGTTAATACGATACGTTTGTATTCGTCTGTCGGATCACCTGGGAGGCGTTCGTAAAGTTTTGAGTCGTCTAGCTGGTGGTATTCTTCTTGTAAGTAGTTGTTTATATTAGGGACTACAATTGCTCCTTCTTTTTCAGCGGGTTTTATTGTTATGTCTGTCCTAGATGTGAGATTTCTCATACTCATTTTTTCAAATTTTGTCAATTTTTATCGTTTTTTTTCTGTCTGTGGTATTCATGTACTATATCCTTCTGTACTTCGGTGATATGAAGGTCCAGGCACTTAGCTCGATTACTGTTCGGTGTCCAATCATTTGTTTTACGACAATGAATTGTTTCGTGGTTAGAAGGCCTGTCCAAGAAATATCCGCGCAACCTTAAGCTTCTAGCGAAGTTGTCGAGGTCTCGGAGCAAGTGGAATTCATCGAAAACTTTTGTGGTCGGGCAGAAGCTTCGTCCTTTAGATAGCAGTTTTTCTTCGTCAGGTGACAAACTCGTGTCCGATAAGTTTACAATCACAGTGTCACAGGGTGTGTTCATAGATGGGTGCTCGCTTGTACCGTTAGTGGTTTCCTGGGTGGTGGTGTTGTAGTGATAAGGAACTATATCAGGAAACGCGTGGTTGGGCAAATGGTCTCTTTAGAGTTTATGAAGTTTAGTGGTCATGATGGCTTGGTATTTATTCTGTTCAAATTCTGTTAACCGGGTGATTTCTTTGTTCGATAAAATGTTGTTACGGAGAGTGGTGTTGATCATAGCGACCAGTTTCTTTATCTGCGTATCACTGAGATTGAGAGCAATTTCTGTTTATTTATGAGATGCCTCAAGGAGGACATTTTTCCATGTTATTTGGTCGTGTTCGTCTAGGTTTGTAGCGGCTAGTGTGATGGAGAGTGTCATACCCTTGATGGCTATTCAAGCACGAAGGTGCACTTGCGATGTTGATTTATGCATTTCATGTCTAATTCGTTTGTCAGCAAGTTTCCGTACCTTAAGGAAGGTGGCACTGCTACAGGGAAGGGATGAGCTGGACTTACCATTTTGAGGTCAACCTACTTTTGGGTGCGGGGATGGCACTGATGAAGTTCGCAGATTGTAGTTATCCCCGGCAGGCCTTCGTCGTTGTAGGGAGGATTTCGGCGTTGGGCTCCCGCCGAACGTGTTCCTAGGGAGTTCCGTTCCCGGAATCCACAATAGAGGGACGCGGTTTCGTAGCTCGGCAGGCTTCCCTTTGAGGAGTGGTGAATTGGTGCTGTCGTGTAGTGCTTTTGGTCTCGACATCCGCAATAGAGGGACGCGTGTTGGCTGTCCAGCAGACTTCCCCCCTAGTAGTGGTGCGCTGTTGATGATGATGAGAGGGTGCTTGTGGCTCGCGGATGTCACAGTTTCGCCGATCCTCGGGAACTCATCTGTGATTTGATCAGTAACACTCTTAGAGACAGGATTTAAATCAAACAGAGAACGTGAAAACAAGAGTCATACCTTGTCCACCGATTTAACACCCTCGATAGAGGAATAAATGAGAATCCGGGTACACTTGCAGCAATTAAATCAATAGAAAACAATAACGGCAATAATGAAAATAATAATTGAGTTCACGGCACTGCAACTTCGAAGGGCACTGGACAACTCAAAATATTTTTAAGTGTAACTACTCTTCCTGAGTACAGCTATCATCTGTTTCTGTTTTTACCTTACTATCGGATCAATTGTGCCAAGCATGACCTGCCCAACAGCAACCCTATGCACAATTGGGAGGCCCCTACTGCACGCATAATCCAGAAGCGGGCAAGAATTGACATTGCACCCGCTTGCCAGCCTCTGCGGCAATACGCGGCGCCCTTCTTTCAACGTCGAGATGTCGACGTGGCGCTGAGTAGTTAACCCATTGACTTCCGCGGCCGGCGATCCGCCGGTCGCTACGGCCGAGGCCAAAATTTTTTTGACCGGCGAAACGCCGGCCACTTAAAAAATTATTGTTTTTCATGATCTTTCATAGGTGGCAGCACATTGGTTGGTGTTTGCCTTTTGTTTGATGTGTTCTCCACTAGATGGACATAGCTGTCCACTGTTGGAGTTATTTTTGTGCGCGTTTGAAGCTGTTTTGTGTGCGAAGTGAGCGAGGCGATTGCGACCGGTCTTGTTCAAAACATGGCATCGCGGCAAAAGCGTGGTTTGACAGAAGACGAAATTCTGCAACTTGTGTTTGACAGCGACGCCGAAAGTGACATTTGTGATGATGAAGATGTTTCATTAGACGATGGGGAGGATCAAAGTGACGAAAGTAGTAGTGATGAGGAGGAGGAAGAGAACGTGTGTGCAGCAGAAGATTCGCTGGATACTTTGCCGCCTTCTCCAAAGGCGCGAAAGATGGAAGAATGGCAATGGAAAGAAGATGACAGTGTGGAAAATATTGTCAAGCACTCCTTCAGCGGCCAGCCTGGCATCAAGAGATCCATCGAGCTTCAAGTAGGTGGAAGTCCCACTGCTCTTGGAATGTTCAATGCGCTTCTACGAGTGGCGATTTGGAGCATCATCGCGTTGCACACAAACGCCTTCGCACGCAAAAGGCAGCTTTTGCATCCTGACTCCTCATGGCATGAAACAACCGCCGACGAAATGAAAGCCTACTTCGCCTTGTGTGTGCTGATGAGCGAAGTAAAGAAGAGTAGCATTCAGTCCTACTGGTCGATGAGGTCTGTTACCAGCATACCATTTTTTGCCACTGTGATGTCAAGACATCGTTTTTGGGCGCTGCCAGCGGTACCTGCATTTCTGCAACAACAGCCTTCCCCAAAGTGAAGACCGGCTCTGGAAGATACGGCCTGTCCTCGATATCATAATCAAGTCCATTGGTGCAGCGTATAATCCCGAAGCAAGTGTTGCGGTAGACGAAAGTCTGATGAAGTTCCGCAGTCGTTTGTCCTACGTACAATTCAACCCTTCGAAACGAGCAAGATTTGGAGTGAAATTCTACAAACTCTGTGAGTCATCTAGTGACTACTACCTCAATTTTTCAATTTATACTGGAAAAAGTGAGAAGACGCCAGCAACAGATGGGCTATTGTGCAGTGAGTCCGTTGTTCTTGACCTCGTTGGAAAACGCCTTCCTGACGGCCACACAATATTTATGGACAACTGGTACTCTTCGCCTACACTTTTTCGTCACCTCAAAGATGCGGGTTCGAATGCAGTTGGTACAGTTCGTCTACACCGCAAGAATATGCCAAAAGGCTTCAAGCAGCTCAAGTTGAAAAAAGGTGAATGCGAAGTTCTCTTTGCGAGAGGGATCATGGCTCTAACATGGAAAGATAAAAAGCAGGTCACTATACTGTTGATCGTGCACAGTGGAGCAAATGTGATTGATTCCGGCAAGAAGGGTCGCGGGAACGGCCTGCCAGTTTTGAAACCGCAAGTTGTATCAGACTACAACCGAGGAATGGGAGGAGTTGATCGCGAGGACCAACAACTTGCTTCTTTTCCCATTATGAGAAGATACGCAAAAGGCTACAGGAAAATTTTCTTTTACATTATGGACATTGCTGTCTATAACAGCTATGTTTTATTTGGAAAAGCTACCGTCAAAGCGGCTCCACTACACCGATTGGAAGGTCAATCTCGCCGAGGCCATTTTCGAAAAGGTCGCTCTGCGCCTTTACTGCGGCCGAAGAAACCCACCTGTCGCGGCTACACCAATGCGCCTGCAAGCTTCCGAGTGGGCTCATTTTCCTCGTCAGATCCTTCTGAACAAAGTAAAAAAAATCCATCCAGGCTTTGCGTAGTTTGCAATTCACATGGCAAAAAGTCCGAGAGCCTGTGGGAGTGCGAAGAATGCGAAGTTGCGCTTCACATGCCTGTGTGTTTTAAAGAATTTCGCACACGCAAATCATACTGACCGAGTTGCTGCAGTAAAGCAATGCAAACAGAATAAAGCAAGAATTGTGGTTCTATGACGTTTCTTGCGGACTTTATTGCAATTTTTATACACCGCCCCATGCCGCCCGCTGGCGTGAAATTTTTGCCGCGGAGTGGTAGACAGGACCGGGCGCGCAGTGCGCGGAAGCCAATCAGTTAAAGGCTTAAACTTCTTAAAAAAGCTCTTTTCCCACACTCCGAACCACAAGAGCCATGCGGTGCCGTCTGGTCGGGAACAATACGTTAGTGAAAGAAAGGATACACAGACCGCAGACATCGTAAAGGTGAAAAGGAGAAAAGGGAAAGGGAAGGGAAAGGAGCGCCCGGGGGAGTCCACCTTATATTCCTCTTTTTTTCTTCCTTCTCCTCTCTCTCCCCCTCTGATTTAGGATTGTATAAAGCTGAGCACCAAAAAAAACTGTACCCTCAATCCTGATGAATGCCAGACTCTGGCTGAAACGTCTAAAAAAAACACGTCGTGACGTAACGGATGATCTACTTGACTACTTGCAAAGCTACGGCTACGGCCACTTAACTACCATGCCTGCCTCTATATATATACATAGAGCATCGAACGCGTAATTCGAAGGTCGTAGGTTCGATTCCTGCTCACAGTTGGTAATTTTTTCATCCACTTTTCTTTCTTCTTATTTACATTCCATTGGTTTTATTAACTTCCCCTGTACATTCCTTGGCATTACTGTCTGTTAGATCTCATTAATATTGTGTCAAAACACGGAAAAACGATCCCTTAGGTATACACTTCTTTCCCTTATATATATATATATATATATATATATATATATATATATATATATATATAGTGAAGAAGAAGATGTGCCAGCAGCAAGCAGCATCGCCAACGCCCGGCTCTCTCGGCTCAATGCTTCGGGTTCGTTGTCCTCACATTTGGTGGAGGTGCTGTTAATCCCCGTTGCTACACCCTGGAGCTGCGAAGCCGCACGCTACCACCTGTCATGACTACCAATGCCACTACATTGACGCCTTCACTCCAGTTCAACTGCCCTGGCCATCCTACGATACGGGAGCCGAAGGTCTTCAGCGGTGCGGATGGGACCGACGTCGAAGACTGGCTCGAGCACTACGAACTGGTGAGCGCCAACAATAAGTGGGATGAAGCCGACAAGCTGGGCCACGTGATATTTTATCTCACTGGCGTCGCCGAATTGTGGTTTAATAACCACAAACACAACATCCCCACGTGGAGCGTCTTCAAGACGTCATGTGCTGAAGTTTTCGGTCGGCCGGCTGTCCGCAAGCAGAGGGCAGAACAGCGCTTGCGCGTCCGCTCTCAGCAGACTGGCGAGACCTTTACCAGTTATATTGAGGACGTCGTCGACCTTTGTCGACGTGTGAATGACACCATGCCCTTTGGGCTTTGTAACGCGCCCGCCACGTTTGAACGACTTATGGATAATACGCTACATGGCCTCAAGTGGAATATGTGCCTCTGCTACCTCGACGATGTCGTGGTTTTCTCGCACGACTTTCCTACGCACCTCCTTCGCCTCAGGCAGGTTCTGACTTGTCTGACCAACGCTGGCCTGCAGCTTAACCTGAAAAAATGCCGTTTCGCTGCACGTGAGCTCGTCATCCTAGGCCACATCGTGTCGAAGCACGGCGTATTACCTGACCCAGCAAAACTTCGAGCAGTCGCAGAATTTCCCAAGCCGACGACCATGAAGGAACTTCGCAGTTTTGTAGGCCTATGCTCATATTTCCGGCGCTTTGTTCGCAATTTCGCATCCATCATGTCACCATTAACCCAGCTTCTTCGCGGTGACGTGAACCTCTCCTCCTGGTCCCCTGCATGTGACGTGGCCTTCACTACTCTGCGCCGTCTGCTCACCTCGCCACCTATTTTTCGCCACTTCGACCCGACGGCTCCTACCGAAGTGCACACCGACGCCAGCGGCGTCGGGCTAGGTGCTGTCCTCGCCCAACGAAAACCCGGCTATCCAGAATACGTTGTAGCCTACGCTAGCCACACTCTGACGAAAGCCGAAACTAATTACAGATTGACAGAAAAAGAGTGTTTGGCTCTGGTGTGGACGCTTGGAAAGTTCCGGCCATACTTACACGGCCGCCCGTTCGATCTAGTAACTGATCACCACGCGCTTTGCTGGCTCTCCACGCTGAAAGACCCTTCTGGCCGCCTTGTGCGATGGGCACTCCGCATCCAGGAGTACGACATTCGCGTCGTATACCGCTGCGGACGCAAACACTCCGACGCTGATGCCCTGTCCCGCTCACCTTTGCCACCAGATCCGACGTGCGGAAACACGTGCCTCCAGACCTTGTCATCGTTAAATCTTGACTCAATTGCCACGGAACAACGTCGTGACCCGTGGATCGCATCTCTTCTCGAATATCTATCCGGTACCCCCAACCTTCTGGTATCTCGATCCCTCCGACGTCAAGCTTTCCATTTTGCCATCCGCGATCAACTTCTTCATCGACGCAACTATGCTCCTGATGGCCGCCAGTGGCTACTGGTCATTCCACGCACTTTGCGATCGCAGGTATGCGCTTCTCTTCACGACGATCCACAATGTGGCCACGCCGGGTTGTTCAAAACATATGAACGCCTTCGCCATCGCTATTACTGGCGCGGCATGTACCATTTCGTACGCAAATTTGTGCAGTGCTGTCCTGACTGCCAGCGACGCAAATCAACACCGCTACGTGCTACTGGCGAATTGCAGCCACTTCCATGCCCTGCCAAGCCTTTTGATCGCGTTGGCGTTGACCTCTACGGCCCCCTTCCATTGACATCAAATGGCAATCGGTGTATTATAGTGGCGGTCGACCATCTAACACGCTACGCCGAAACAGCCACTTTACCGAGCGCTACCGCTTAGAATGTCGCCTCTTTCATTTTACGTCAATTTATCCTTCGACATGGCGCACCTCGGGAGCTCCTTAGTGACAGAGGCCGCGCTTTTCTCTCTGAGGTCTTCGAAGCTCTGCTTTCGGAATGCCACGTCATTCATCGGAAAACGAGAGCATACCACCCGCAGACTAATGGGCTAACGAAACAGTTTAACCGCACGCTGGGTGATATGCTCTCAATGTACGTGGCATCTAATCATAGCAACTGGGACCGTGTTCTCCCATACGTGACATTTGCATACAATACTGCAATACAAACAACCACGAGATTTTCACCTTTCTTTCTTCTTTATGGACGTGACCCTTCCCATACAATTGATACTCTACTTCCCTACCGTCCTGATGCTTCCGAATATCCACCTATCTCCGATGCTGCTCGACAAGCCGAAGAGTGCCGCCAGCTCGCCCGTGCGTTCACCTCGGACGAGCAGCAACGCCAGAAAGAAAACCGTTGCACCTCTCTTCCGGATCCCAACTATGCCCTAGGGTCTCTCGTGTGGCTTGCCATCCCATACCAAACTCCGGGACTCTCATCAAAACTTGTCCCCCGGTACGAGAGCCTTACACCGTTTTACAGAAAACCTCTCCGGTTAATTACCTAATTGAGCCAGTTTCCCGATCGGATGACATGCGCCGGCGTGCACGTGACATCGTCCATGTTTCCCGCCTAAAACCGTATCATGAGCCTCTCCCTGAAACTTCTTAGGTCGCCAGAATGGCTCTTTTTTCAGCGGGGGCGATTGTGAAGAAGAAGATGTGCCTGCAGCAAGCAGCATCGCCAACGCCCGGCTCTCTCGGCTCGTGCTTCGGTTCGTTGCTGTGCCGATCGCTGGACGGTTCTTCACGCTGTCTCGTCACAGATACACAGACCGCAGACATCGTAAAGGTGAAAAGGAGAAAAGGGAGAGAGAAGGAAGGGAAAAGAGCGCCCGGGGGAGTCCACCTTATATTCCTCTTTTTTTCTTCCTTCTGCT